CAGCAAGGCCTCTCTTACCCACCCGCCCGCCCTACCCGGCCTGCCGGCTCCGGGGAGGAGGCGGTGGCGGCAGCGAGGCCTCTCCTCCCCGCCCGCCCTACCTCCCTACCTGGCCTGCCGGCTCCGGGGAGGAGGTGGCAGCGGCGGCAGCGAGTCCTCTCCTCCTCGCCCGGCTGCCCGCCCCTACCCACCCGGCGGCAGCGTTCGCAGAGCGTCTCCTGCGCACGCACAGGAGACGCTCTTGCACTTTCGGGGGGATTTTAACATCCCCCCGAATTATTTTTTAACTTTTTTTATTTTTGTGCACACGTGTGCACAAACCTCCCCCAGCTGCCCCCTCCGTGCTGATTTAAGTATCCGCACGGAGGGGGCAAGTTGGGAATTAGATATATAGATAATACAGACCTTGACAGACCAAGGTCTGCCTGATTCACCAGAAGGCACCTTTATGTGTTCACATATGTGGGCCCAACAGAAGTGCATCACACGCACCTGCTGTTATCATCTGCCTTCCCTTCTGCCTTCCCAGTTCTCACACCTATAGTTTCTTTGTTCCTTGACTAATCAAGCATCAGTATGGAGCAAATGCTGATAATGTCTGAGTGCAGGCTACTCCACAAACTGTGGTTAAGTTGGGGTCTGTCAAACAAGTATCTGAAGTTGATTTATTAACTACATTAACTCTGGTTTCATGCAATATATGGATGCAGATGTCTGAGCTTGATCCTGGCTTGTTCCCTGGCAACCTCCTCCCAAGTGACAGACTGATGTAACTGAAACTAGAATTTGGTTGAAACAAAAATTTGAGTGATTGTGAACTGAATCCCAGTTTCACAAACTAACCATAGGTAAAATAAATCAGGGCTTCACACCTCTCATCTCTTTTGCAGGTCTTCTCTGTGTTTGGTGTGACGCTGTTTGGAAGTCTTATCCCAGTGCATTTTGGGAATTTGGGAACTGCCTTGTACACACTTTTCATCTGCATAACACAGGATGGGTGGATTAACATTTATGATGCCTTTGAGTGAGTAAGCCTCTTCCCATCTCTAGCCAAAATGAACAAGTAGTAATACAGTCCAAACAGGAGTGTGTGCATCTATCCAGTCACCAGTTGGGATGCTATGGACTATTTTCATCTTTCTCATGTGTGATTTAAACTATGGCCCCGGTCACACGGGCAGGAAACTGCGGGGGGGAAGCGTGGCTGTTTGCCCCAGGGCAAACTAACACGCAGTAAAGCGATCATACCTTCCGTGGAGGTTCTGTGGAGGAACCGTGGAGCTTCCGTGGTTACGGAGAGGCGGCGATCACAACACACGCCTGCGCGCAACGAAGAAGCGCGCGGCGCGGCAACCTGGTGTCCTTTTTCTGTGTACACTACGAATGCGCATGCTCCGTTGGGTGCTTGTGCGCAACCACGGAGACTTGGGAAAAAAAAAACCGTCTTCGCAAGGGGACATGGACGGGCGCCGGATGCCACCGGAAACGCGATCAGACGCCCGCCCTTGCCCCGCAGTTTCCGGAAACTAGTACCTCCGAGGTACTAGTTTTTTGCTCCGTTTTATCGGCGGTTCGCCACAGTTCAACCACGGGAGCTCTACGCTCCCCAGATGTTGCCGTGTGATCGTGCCAGGTAACTCCGCCTCTCTTCCGTCTATTTAGCGTGGCTTCTGCTCCGTGTGAACGGGGCCTATGTACAGTTTTGGTTGCTGTATCTCAAAAAGGGTATTGCAGAACCAGAAAAACTGCAGCCAAGGGCAGCCAAGATGATTAAAGGCTGGGAGTGCCTTTCCTATGAGAAAAGGCTAAAGAGACGGGGGCTTCAGTTTTGCAAAACTATAACTGGGAAAACTATAACTGAAATTACACCTGGTTAAATGGATACAGATAATGTTTTCTACTTTCCCCCATAATATTATAATGTGCATGGCATCCAGTAAAGTTGATTGGTTATGGATTCAGGACCGCCTTTGTCACTCAATGAATAATTATATTGTGGAATTCACTGCCAGAGGACATAGTGATGACATAGCTGGTTTCAAAAAGGGAATCAGGCAGATTCATGGTGGAGATATCCATCAGTGGCTACTAGCTATAGTGACTGAAGTGATCCTCCATGTCTAGAAACGGTCAGTGCTAGGAGGCACTATGAGGGGAGAAACTGGTCTCTGGCAAGACGAGAGCAGCAATAACCGTTGACTCCTTCTGCCGCCCTCCCATTGCCACTGGCAACTGGAGTACACAAAGTGCTCTGATGGTGGGATGAAGTGGTCATTCGCTGGACTGGGAGGAGGCAGGACTTGTTTTTCTGCCCGACACCTTGGTTATTGCTCTAATCTGGTTGTGGTCAGTATCTGGAATGGAGACCCAGGTTTAAAGGTGGCAGCCTATGTTGCGTTTAACCACCTTCTTGACATCTGAAGCAGAAATACTTCAGAAACCTATGTGCGATCAAGTGGTGAACTGAGGACCTCTAATACTATTAGGGTTATTCATTAAAAAGCAAAAAGAGTGAAGTAAAAAGTGGAATTTAATAAATTGCCAAGCTGCCATTAGGTACTGTAAATTAGTTATTTAATTTTAATATTATTGAAATCAGTGTTTTAATGAATCTGACCAATTCCACAAAAGTAGTTGTTCTGCCCTTGGTCTCCAGTTTTCCCAGATTGTACTGTTCAGTAAGGAGCTGCAGTGGCTCAAGTGGTTAAGATGCTGAACTGCAGGCTGTGGAAGGTCAGTAGTTCAGCAGTTCGAGACCCGGGTGCCGCATGACGGAGTGAGCTCCCATCTCTAGTTCCAGCTCCTGCCAACCTAGCCGTTCGAAAGCAAGAAATTGCAAGTAGATAAATAGGTACCACTTCGGTGGGAAGGTAACAGCGTTCCATGCGCCTCGGTGTTTAGTCATGCCGGCCACATGACCACGGAAACGTCTTCGGACACCACTGGCTCTTTGGCTTTGAAACGGAGATGAGCACCGCAACCCTAGAGTCGGACTCGACTGACTTTCGAGCAAGGGAACCTTTACCTTTACTGTTCAATATCCCACTATTTGCTGCACAGACGCATTTTGACCCGCATCTCCCCCCGATTTCCCCCGTGTCTTCTTTATCCTTATATTTTAGGATCAAGAAGACGCGGGGGAAATCAGGGGGGAGATGCGGGACAAAATGCAGCCAAAATTGAGCAGTACAACCAGGGGAAACTGGAGACTGAGGGCAGAACAACGCGGCTTTTGCAGAATCGGTCACAATGTTTTATGGAATTGTTCTACTGTTCTTTTCTGACATGTTGTAAGCTGCCCTGAGCCCACTTGTGGGGTAAAAAGGTAAAGGTTCCCTTGCTCGAAAGCCAGTCGAATCCGACTCTAGGGTTGCGGTGCTCATCTCCGTTTCTAAGCCGAAGAGCCAACGCTGTCCAAAGACGTTTCCGTGGTCATGTGGCCGGCATGACTAAACACCAAGGTGCTCGGAACGCTGTTACCTTCCCACCAAAGCGGTACCTATTTATCTACTTGCAATTTCTTGCTTTCGAACTGCTAGGTTGGCAGGAGCTGGAACTAGAGACGGGAGCTCACTCCATCATGCGGCACACTCGGGTCTCGAACTGCTGAACTACCGACCTTCCACAGCCCGCAGTTCAGCGTCTTAACCACTTGAGCCACCGCAGGGGTAGGGCAGGATAAAAAATATATATATATAAAAATATTGCCCTCTTAGTTGGCCCTGCAGGGCAACTGGATGTAGCATACTGGACTAGGTCGACCACTGGTCTGATCCAGCAGGCCTGCTCTCATGTTCTTAGGAATGCTTTATCTTTGCATCACTTTTTGTTCCCTGACAGTAAATTTTAAAATTTATTGGTTGAAAGGCCTATTGCCCTGGTTGAAAGGCATATCGTTGGAGGATGGATGATTAAAGATATGCTCCGGACAGGATGCACAATGGAGAAGGTCTGTGGTGTCACTTGTAAACCCACTTCTCTTTCCTCTCCAGTGATGAAGGCATGGCCCTGAGGATTGGGGGGGCGCTCTACTTCTCCATCTTCATCACCTGTGGGGCCTTCATCTGTGCGAATCTGCTTGTGGCTGTGGTGACGACAAACCTGGAGCAGTCCGTGGCTGCTTACAACGAGGAACGGCAGTCACAGTCTCTGGCCCGTTCGGAAGCAGCCTATACTGGGCTGGATGTGAGTCTTAATGTAAACGGGCTAGGAAAGGAAGCTGTGCTGCCCCCAGCCAGCGTTTAACTGTAGTTAAGCAGAACTGCCATATATCTTTAAGAGCAGTTGCCCCTGGGAATTGAAGTCTTTAGTTAGACATCCAAAAGCATTCCTGTGACTGGCTGATCAACAGTCATTTCCTGCACCCAGAGGCGCGGGGATTTGAGTTTACAGCCTTCTTCCCATTCCTTTGTCTGCTCTTTAAACGGCAAGGAGGTCGGAGCACACAATCTTTTTCACTGTTCAAGCCAAAGTGGGAGATAAGGGGTGATCCTGCATCTTTTCTCATGTAAGGAAAAAAGCAGATGTAGGGAGAGTGCAGTTTTGGGCAGACAGAATAGTTGTAAAACAGCACCGGGGGGGGGGGGGGAATTTTGGGAACAGCAACACAATGACTGGTAAGGAAAGTGGAGGGGGTTACTTTCCTCATCTTCATCGCCTGCATCTATGCAAATATGCTTGTGACAGTTTGCTGGAGAGAAAGTGGAACCCCTGCTTCCCACAGGCTTTCCTCCTGCTCTCCAAGTAGCGGCTTTGCATTCAATGAAAACAACATCAGGGTGCTGTGGGTGATGTATCAATAGCCTGTTTCAGTGCCACGACTCACAATATCAGAAACACTGTAACGTTTTCAAACAATTCAAAAATATTTTAATATTTAAATTTTTAAAAAATTACTTTTAATTTCAAAAATAATTTTAATACTAAAATATTTTTTTAAAACAGTAATCTTTAAGCCATTGCAAATTGTTTGGTGGCTTGAATGTATCCGATTAAAAACCTAAAGACAAACAGGGAGGACAAAACCAAACAAAGTTTGTTGCCATCAAGTGGGTCTTTGCCAGGTAGCTGACAACTGTGTCACGTGAGAAGGGTATAGCTTAGCATTTGATTTGAGTGAATAAGGTCTGTCTGTCTATCTATTGGTCTAGATCATTTGTCTTCTGCCGTTTCTCTAAGGAGCTCAGGATGGCTTGCAGGGTTCTCCTTTCCTCATTTCCTATCCTCTCTACAGCCCCATGAGGTAGGTTAGGCGGAGAGCACATGCTTGACTCAAGGTTACCCAGCGAGCTTCACTGCTGAGTCTTACATTTTTCTCTGGTACATTCATGGGTTAAGTCACAGATGCATTCTGCGAGCTTGATGCTGCCAGGCTCACATGGGCCCATTTCAGATCGTGACTACAGTGCATGGAGGAGGGTCTAGACCTCCCCCCAGTGCTGCCTTCTTGACCTGAAATGGCCTTAGAGAGGTGCTTATTTGCCCTGTTGAGGACAAGTCTCTGTTGAGGACAAGTCCTAATGGTAGGATCCTGTGTAGTTGAGACAGTTACATGTACAAGAGCTACAGAGTAGCACAGAGCTAGATGGGCCAGTGATGAGAGTGTCAGACAAGGATCTGGGAGACCCGGGTTTAAATCCCTTCTCTGCCATGGAAGCTTGCTGGGTGACCTTGGACCAGTCACTCTGTCTCTCATCCTAACCTTCCTCACTGGGTTGTTGTGATGATGAAAGCATGGAGGAAGGAGAAATGATGTTGTAAGCCATTATGGGTCCTGACTGGGGAGAAAAGTGGAGTCTAATTAATTTGAATGGCAGCTTTCTCCAAGTGCCGTATCAGCATCCTACAAGCCAAGCTTGCCCTCTGGTAATGCACAGGGTTTGTATGTGTGTCTTGGGACAGTGAGGCAAACAAAATGGCACTAATTTGAGCAGGACCTGCAAAAATCAGCACTTTCCTAGCCACAGAGCATGCAGAAGCACTTTAACGGCTCTCTTTTCCAAAAGAGAGCAGTTGCAGAGGGCTGCTGCAAAGTAGGGGAAAACACAGAATTTGAGTGGTTAGGAAACGATGTTGTATGGATGCTTCAGGGGGGGAAAAAAACCCTAAACAAAACAACAACACACAGTTTAGACACAAAATGGAAGCTTTTGGGGAACAGCCACTATCCATTTTAGGCAGAGAAAACTGGAAACAGAGTGCAGGTGGTGTATGAACTGGGTCCAGGACTAGCAGAGGGCCACAAACAAGGGTCTAACTCTTTTCATCCTTGAGCAGGATGGCACAGATGATGATGCCCTCCCGCCTCTGCCACCGATGCACATGAAAGAAGTTATGCATGCCACAGCCATGGTCCATTGCCAGGATCTGCTTAGCTACGGTAATTTGGGTAACCTGAACGATTCCACCTGTGACGATCTCTGCGTTGTCCTGGAAGCGATCCATGAGAACCTAAAGGAATACCGGGAGATCCGGGATGAGCTCAGTCAGTAAGTCAAGCCAAGATCCTTGCTTGATCTTCTTTTGATTTAGGAGATGCAAAATCTGTCCCGATCCCACCTACAGAACTAGAGAGAAAAATGGGGATTCTGGATGAGAACATGGGTCTCTTTTTAGGAATATCTGACTATTTTAAAAAATTTGTTTATTTATATGTTAGGTATTTATATCCCACTTTTCTCCTCAATGGGGAGTCAAAGCAACTTACATTCCACTCCACTCCTCCATTTTATCTTCACAATAAACCTGTGAGGTAGGTTAGGCTGAGAGTGTGGGACTGGCCCAAGGTCACCCAACAGGCTTCCATGGCAGAGTGAGGATTTGAATCTGGGTCTCCTGGATCCTAGTTTGACACTCAAACCACTATGCCATGTGGGCTTGATCTCATGTGACATCTTTACTGGAAGCCCTTTTATGTCTCAGGCCATTGATGCCTCCTCAGGAGCCGATGACCATGACCCTTCTGGCCTGGATTTCCTGTTCCCCGCCTTTCCCTGAAGATGTAGAGAGCTTTCAGTAGCCCTTGGGAAGCTGTGGAAGTGGTTGCCCCAGCTTAAGGACTGCAGGTCTTTGGTGGTCTCCTCAGGAGTGTATGGAATGAGGGACTGTGGCTGAGCGGCTGAGCATCTGCTTTCTGTGCAGAAGGTCCCAGATTCAGTTCCTAGTGTCTTCAGCTATCAGGATCAGGTAACAGGTGATATGGAACACCCATGGCCTGAGACCGTGCAGAACCACTGCCAATGCTCCCTCTAAGCTGTGGAGTCTTGTGAGCAAAAATTCTACTTTGCGAGCTACCGGCATTAAAGTTGTGAGCGAGCAATTTGACTACTGCATAAATTAGTTTGCTCTGGAGCCGTCCTTCCTGAGAAAAGAGAAAACTTTGTGAGCCGGAGGCTAAAAAATGGTGAGCTAGCTCACACTAACTCAGCTTAGAGGGAACACTGACCACTGCCAGTCTGAGTAGGCAATACTGACCTTAATAGACCAAGGTTCTGACTCAGTAGAAGGTGGCTTTATACGTGTGCCCTGCTCTGGGCTTCTCCTCTTGTACCATACAGACTCACTAAAATATAAAAGCAGGAGTCCGGGGCACCTTAGAGACTAGCAAAATTCATTGCAGTAGAAACTTTCATGAGTTAAAACTCACTTCACCAGATGTCTGAAATGCGCATCCCTCGCAGAAATATTTGTACTAAGAGCAACAGTATTTCTACCATGGGTGTACATTTCATACATCAGATGAAGTGAGCTCTGAACCACAAAAGTTTATGCTGGAATGAATCTGATTAGCCCCTCTAAGGTGCCCTTGGACTCCTGTTTTACATTGTTGCCACCAACCTGGAAGTATCAGAACGTGTAAAGGATCATTTCAGATGGAAGAAGAAATCCTTTCCAAAGCAGAGTCTAGAGGGGTAGTCCTATTAGTCTGTGCCAGTAAAGCAGAAGATAGTCTTGCGGCCCCTTAAGAACAAACAGATGAATAGCATACGAATTCATAGGAGATCAACCTCAGCTGCTACATAAAACCTTGAATGCAGAGGCTTTCCTTTAACAATTTCATTTTAGCTCCCCCAGTGTGGAAATGTTGAAGCTCTGCCAGACCCGTAGCCAGGCTTTTTTTTATCCTGGGGGGCTCCTGGGTTCAGGGGGGGCTGCTGGTGCCAGAGAGCATAATCTAAATTTTAAAATTTAAACCCTGCGAGGGAAGGGTTGCCAGTCGGACGAGTCTTCTCCCTGCTTGCTAGCAAGAAGACTTGGGGGCCGGCAACAAAGCCACGTGGCTGCCCCCTCTGTTCCCCCGCCAGCCAGCTGAGCAGAGAGGGGCTTTAAACTTTAAACCCTCTCTCTGGAGTTGTGCGGCAGTGGCAGCACGATTTCTCCATTGTGGAGAGCCAGCTGGCAGGCAGGGGGAAAGTGGGAGGAGTCTTCTCCCTGCTTGCTAGAAGGAAGAAGACTTGGTGGACAAGGAGGCCATGTGGCTGCCCCCCCCCTCTTCTCCCTGCCAGCCAGCTGAGCAGAGAGGGGGGCTTGTATCCAGTGGAGAAATCATGCCGCAGCTGTGGCGTGAATCCAGAGAAGGGGTTTAAAGTTTAAAACCCCCCTCTCTTCTCAGCTGGCTGGCGGGGGAAGAGAGGGGGCTGCTGTGTGACCTCCTTTGCCAGCTGTCGAGTCCTCTTCCTGCCAGCAAGCAGGGAGAAGACTCCACCACCGGCAAGAGCCTGTGCCTCCCCTCTCTTCCCCTTGGCCTGCCAGCAAAGCAGAGAGGAGGTTTAAACTTTAAACTGCAGCATGATTCCAGAGAGGGGGTTTAAGCCCCCTCTCTGCTCAGCTGGCTTGCGGGGGAACAGTGGGGGAGCTGTGTGGCCTCCGTTGCTGGCTGTGGAGTCGTCTTCTTGCTAGCAAGCAGGGAGAAGACTCTGCCGGCAAAAGGGGAGGGAAATCTTGTGGGGTTGTCCCTTTAAGGGAGGGGGCGGAGCCCCCAAGAGCCCCACTGTAGCTACGGGCCAGAGCTCTGCCCATGGTCTGGGAAAATTAGCTTTTGATGGAAGTAGTCGTTGTTGGGAAAAGTCTCCAAGCTTCCCTGGCTTTGACCCTCACAGAATAGTCCACGAGGTGAGATCCATCAAGTTCAATATCGAGCAGGAACAAGAGATAGTTCTACGGAATATCCGCGGGGCCAGCATCTCGGACACCATGCTTGCCAATGAGGTCATACAAGGAAAGGCTGGGGACGTCCTCACTACACTGACAAACCTAGAAAAGGTACGGCTGCTTCACCTGGAATCTTGGAAAGGGGTAGTGGGAGGGGGTCATTTCCTTGTGGGTGTCAATCAGTATCAGTCCACGGCAGCTGGTCAAACAAGCAGCCACACATTATCTTTCGCCCATCTGGAAGCAGTCACATATTCTTCCTGGATTCTTAGCCCATCCTCACTTTCATCTTCCTTTGGCAGTCAAATATGATCGACACAGAATACCAGAGAGGAGCGATAAAAACGGCAGCCATGAGAGCACGGAGGCAGTCGTTGCTAATGGTATGTAGAATGCTGCCTTGTCCAACTTGGTCCTCACCTGGATCCTTGCAAACTGCAGCTTGTCCATGTGGTCATACAGTCCCCATTTGCCCACCTTTAGAACACATGGCCTCATTTTGACATGGGATCACATACACCACAGGAGAACAGTGTCATCCAGGGGTCAGCAACCTTTTCTAATTAAAGAGGAAACTACACCAAAATTCAGAGGGAGAGATCAACAAAGGCCCATTGTAAGAAAGGTCATTTACATACCTTGAAAGTATGCAGTGTAGCATGACATGTGAATTCATAATACACAGACCAAACACTGGTTGTTGTGAGTCTTTGAAGTAGGAAATAGCCTCACCATAAGTAACCTGCAAAATTATTATTTTTTTAGTGCACTGGCACAAACCTGTGCATTTTTGCCACAGATTTTGGGTAACTGTTCATCTCTGTCATGTCCCTTTCCCGTAAAGCATCTCTAAGAAGCTCTGCCATTCCCTTCACATCCTGGTTTTCTAGCATCCCATCTATCTCTCCACTAGATTTTTACTTAGAGATTTCATTCTCTTATTATTCAATTCAATTTATTATGGGTCTATATGACCGAAGTCTTGACCACATTCTCTTATTATTAAAAGATCTGCATATGGTTCTGTACTGGGCCACATATGCCAATCAAGACATAGGTTGCGGACCCTCATGAGACTGAAAGGGATAATGATACAACTTCTGAACAACATGTTCTAATACTTTTGTTTGTTTGTTCACCTTCTAGCCGGGAGAAATTGCAGATCTGTTGTACCAAGATAGTATGGTATGTGCTGCTTCTTTTGTGCCCTGGCGATAGGGCTGGCATCAAGGGTCAACCTACTGCCAAGGCCTCTCCAGGGCCTGCTACCAACCAGACTGTACCCCCCCCCATCTGCCCCACCACTTTGCCAGTTTGGTGTAGTGGTTAAGTGCGTGGACTCTAATCTGGGAGAACTGGGTTTGATTCCCCACTCCTCCACTTGCCCCTGCTGGATGACCTTGGGCAAACGATAGTTCTGGCACAGCTGTCCTTGAAAAAGAGCAGTTTCTGTCAGAGCTCTCTCAGCCCCACCTACCTCACAGGGTGTCTGTTGTGGGGAGGGGAAGGGAGAGGAGTTTGTAAGCCGCTCTGAGACTCCTTTGGGTAGTGAAGGGCAGGGTATAAATCCAATCTCTTCTTCTTCTTGACTATGACAGAAGAACAGAAGCCATGTTCATTAACCACTTGCATACACAGACATTTCCCAAGGGGTGGAGGGCCCCCTTCCTTCCTTCCTTCCTGGGAGAGTGTGCATATACACATGCTGTGGCAGCACACTTGGGATAGCCTACTGTGGTGTATTCAATCGGACACTGTATGTATGTGAACTCACTCATTGAATCACCATGTGAAGCTTTCATCCTGGGCTAGGATCCTAATCCTTCAATTGTAATTGGCAGCCCAGGAAGAGCCGACCAATCACCATGAGAGGGAACACTTGTGATTGGTCCTTATCTGTATAACCTTATTGGCTGGAATTTGTATAGTAGGCGTGGCTACATTAGCCAGGAAAGTTTAAAAGCAGAACAGCTTCAATGCTAAAGTTGTTCTGGCTATTCATGTTGATCTGTTTGGAGTTACGAGTTGCTGAGTAAAGCTGATCTTTTGCTGAAATCACTCTCTGACTCTTTGCTAAGTAACCGACTTAACACCTACCATCCACTTGGCTCACTTGGCATCTTGCCATGAGTCCCCCCAAAGCCTGCAACTGCTACATGCTACTTCTCTCCTGCTGGAAACAGAAACCTGGGTATCACAATATTACTCAGGTTTAATTGAAAAACCACTTCATGTTCTGCCAGTCTTCCATCAAAGGAACAATTATAATTTGGTCACTGTGTCATTAAGGAGGCTGGGATACAGAAATCTGCCTTATGCTAAGACAAACCGTTTTCAGGCTTTTTAAAGTGGGGCCCACTCCTGAACTTACTGTACTTTTCAAGAATCACTTGAAAAGTAACCTGTTCTTCATCACTCATGACAATTTTTCCTCTGTCTCTCCACCCTGTAGATGGAAGTACCTGAAGATTGGAGTCAAAAGCATGACGGCTCGGTAAGAGTCCCAAAGCATATGCTGAAGATCGCATCACTCTGATTGCTTCTTCTTAAAAACCCATCTGAGTTCTCACAATCTAGATGGGGGATTGGGGCCCTATGTCAAGAGTGGCACATGCTGGTGATGCTTAAGCTCTGGGTGCTGGGACACAGACCCTTTGCTAGTGGGCTAGGGGCCTAACTACATGATTCGCTGTTTCCAGGTCTGTGCTGGGTCCTCCTTGGGTCCTGCCAGGTGCATGTCTGCTGGGAATTTCCTGTTGAAAGTCAGATCCCCAGGTGCATGTGAGCCTGAATTGGGATCAGGACCACAGCACACGAGAGAGCTTTAGACCACATAGACACTATACAGCCTATCAGTATACCCAAGTTTGCCAGTGGGGCAAATAAAGGCTCCTTGGGGCTGTTTCAGGTTGGGAAAACAGGAGCTTAAGCCCCCTTTCCCCACACGTTGTGATCTCAGTCCAAGTCATCCCCACGTGCCTGAGGATCTGAGTTTCAGCTAGGAACTTTCAGAGCATGCTTGCACGATGGAACCCAGAGAAGACCTGGGAACAGGTATTTATTTAACATTTTTATATCCTACTTTCCCCCAATCATGGAGACTCAAAGCAGCTTATAACAGGGGTCTCCGACCTTTGAGCCTGTAGACACCTTTGAAATCCTGACTTAGTGTGGTGGGCACAGCCACAAAACGCCTGCCACAGGAGGGGAGCCAGCCATTAAATGGCTGCTGCAGCTTGCCTTCAGTCACACAGTGAAGATCCTTGTGCTGTGGTGGCAGCAGCTGCCAAAGCAACATTTTTTAAAAAATCTGTGCTGCCACTCAGATCTCCAATAGCCAGTCAGAAGCCTTGCTGGACAAAAGCCCCACCTGGCCCCGCCCATTTTCTAGAGACACTTGGTGGGCACCAGGAAAGGTGTTGGCAGGCACCATGGAGCCCAAGATCACCACGCTGGGGACCTCTGGCTTAATATCACCGAAACCAATGGACTGGTAGCAAGCTCCTGAAACGTGGTTGTCAGCCAGAGGAGCTCAAAAGCCCACGCAAGTGATGGCCGTAACCAGCATTGCCACATCAGTCAAGATAGCAACAGAGAAAATGCACCCCTACTATACAGGGAGCTAGGGTTGCCAAGTGTATCTTTGCCGGGAGCGGGGGACTCCTGGCTGGTGTCTTGTGCACGCGCGCTGCGCGCACGTCACCCGGAAGTGACGGGAGGACGCCAGGCACGCTGGGGGCGGGGCCACGGCCATACAAGGGAAAACCATAGTTTTCCCTTGTATGGCCGTGGCCCCACCCCCAGCGTGCCCGGCATGCCCGCGTCACTTCCAGGTGACGCACACGTCGGGGTAGAGTTCCCCCCGGGGCCCGATTCGGCAGCGCCGGGAAACGGGCCTCTGGGGCAAGGGTTTCCCTGCCCCCCGGGGGGACTTGGGATCCCTACAGGGAGCAGATCAGCAACTCTCTCTGGTCCCTCATAATCCTGCTGGCACCAACTCCAAAGAGGAAGTGTACATGTCAGAGAAAGAGGAGAGGAGGATATGGCAGCATACTTGGGGGGGAGGGATACCGGAGGGCATATTTCTCAGAATTCCCTTGAAATTTGAAGCTGGACCCCGCTAGTGACAGGGACCCTCTCAAACCCTTTTGTCAGTCAGGGTGCCCAATACATTTACACATGGGAGATCCAGTTTTCTTAACAGTAGGAGTGATATTGGGAGAAAAACTATGCATTCTTTGTAAACTTGGTTTTTTCTTGGTTTTTATTTGGGTTGAGTTCAGGTGTTGCTTATCTCTTGCTTTTATGGTATTTTTAGGTGCTGCTTTTTTAAAAAAATTGGGGGGCAGGATTCATTGGGATTGGGTGGCTTCATTGTGTTTATTTAAGCACATTTGTTATGGGAAAGGATTGGATGAATTATCTAAGTAAATAAATAAACTACAGATGGATTTGACTGGGGAAATTATGCCAGATCAGTATTTCTGAAGCAAACAATTATTTTTTTCTTAGACTGAACACCGTCCTGGGAAATCGGGAGAGTGAGAAGAGAAAGACCCCTACCATAGGGACATTGATTACATATCATGAGAACAGCATTTGAGCACAGGATGCCCGAAACCGAAGGCAGATTGGGTGTTCCAGGAGAAGCAGGTTCTGCTGGGACCCGGTGAGGATGGCATCATGGGTAGAACAGTGTTCTAGATGGAAAGACACCCCCAGAAACCACGCATTTGCATCTCCAAAAATACTGACTGGGGGAGAAAACTGTTCTCATCTAGGAAAGGAAGAGATTTCACTGTCCTGTGGAAAGATGTCCCTGCTATTGAAGCATCTTTCCTGGAAGGAGCTCCCGTTGATAGAAATGACAGGGACAACAGTCACAGCGAAAGTTCTTGCTGAGGCCGGGAGAGGCTACATTTTGGCTCCAAGTGCTGGACTTTTCCATGAAGGGAGGAGTAGAAATTATCTCCAATACATCAGTTGGCTGGCAGCTAGAGATGAGTCCGGGCAGGCCATGTAGGACCTGGTTGTGGCCAAACAGGAAGGAGTCTAGGAAAGCATCTTACCTTTTCTCAGCGGTCATTGCAGGTTCTTGGTCTTCCGTGTGCCTGCATTATATCAGTGGGATGCTCAGAGGGACTGTTTCACTGTCTTCTCTTCCCAGAGTCACGAGATGCTTCACCACGGCACCAGCTCTTCCCACCCTGCTTGAAATTGCTCCACAAGCAGAGAAAATGTTAGTTCCTTCTCTTTTGCCAGATTTAGGTTCTGTCTAGTTTGGTAATGGTGGAAAGTTAGTGTGTCTTTAAAAAATGAATAGTGTCTGGAGAACTTTGTGACCGGATGAGAAACATGGTGCTTTGCAGGGAGGGAGGACAGAAAAGTTGGATGCATCAGTGATCATCAACTTTCAGAATTGTGCTGGCTTGAGATTTCGAATATAATAATGACATGTTGAATTGTGTGCAAGAAACTTTGTGCATTTGGAAGATCTCCCCTTTTGTCTTCTGCGGTCTCATGATTCTGCAAACTGGTTCTAACTCACCATTTGTCATTGACATACAAATGGAAATAAGGTCAAACTTCCTCCAGCAAATAATCCCCAATGTGTCCTAAGCACCCTGGTTAGGGCTGCTGTACATGGTACTTGTTTCCTATGCAGAAGTCATTTTCATGGAGGAAACGCCACGTGCTCTGCATGTAGGGGCCAAGTGTGGCAATCACACACTATGGGTTATACATGTCTTCTGACTGGGTGACAAGAATTCTATCATTTTTAAAAGCCCCAATGAACACTTTCCCCTGATTAATTTCAAAGCACTTGCTTCAACCTGCAAGTTTTGCTCTGCACTCCTCCCAGACTGCAGTGGCTGGGGGGGGGGGGGGGGGGGGGTCCACTGCAGGTTTTCTCCAGCCTGCTTTGGTATAATCTTTCTTGAAAGACCATACCCAAAATAGGTTTGGAGATGGGGCAGTGTGGAGTTCTGCTCTTCCCTGCCCACATCTGGCACCATTCCCCCCTCCACTGTTGAGCCTTTTGATTTTTTTTAAAAAAGATTCTTACTAGCCAGAGTGCTTTTTACCATTTTAAAAAATTGGTAGTAAGTGTAGGGTGGGAGCAATACCCCCGTGTGAAAGTTTGTCACCACTGCGAATGCCTCTGCATTTGCAATGGCAATAAGAGCATAATGGGGAAATCACACCCCCACACCCAATAGAAGGAACCACAGCCATGTGTGAAACCAGGGAAGGAATCTGTAAAATGGGGGGTGGGGAGGCAGGAAATAAAGTGGTGGAGGGAGGTGCAGGAGTGGTTGGGATGTGTCTGATGTGAGTTGGAGAAGGTAGTAAGTATAACGTAATACCAGGAGCAGGGAAACAGAGAAAGTCATGCAAAGTAGGGTTTGGGGGTATAGTTGGCTGGTGATCCGAGTTCAAATTCCCCTAGTGTAAAATCTAGCATCAAAGAGCAACCTTGGGGAGAGGGCCTTCAGTACAGATAGGAGTGCAGTCCCCTGAGGAGGAGGGGTTTAGCTCTTTTCCTGTGTTAGTTCCCTAATCAAATTGAACTTCCCCTCTCCCCATTCATTCCCATATGGCCTGAAAGGTGCATATCACTTTAGCCATCCAGATGGAGGAGAATCAATGAGATGCTTCTGATAAAAGGCTTCTCTTGAACCACATGCAGGCTGTTGATACAGTCAGCCTCGCAGATGCAGAATCCATGCAGGCTGTTGATACAGTCAGCCTCAGTCCATAATTAAATGGTAGCCTTAGGAACATCTCTGGCTGGCAAAGCGGAAGCAAGACTTTAGCTCCCTTTCCTCCCTCTTGCACCTTTACAACAATCAACAGCAAATTGTGCTAGAAAGACTAGAAGGCACTTTTAGTGTCACTTGTGCAAAGCTCTTACATATATTCTGATACACATTTATATTCATAAATTCATAATTAATTCTGAACTATGCCAGAGTGTGAATATGCAAAATGGAGCTGGGGACAGATGGAGGGATTTTCTACAAACTGGAACAAAGTCCCAGGTTTGCAGAAAAATCTGAAATCTTAAAAAAAAATACATTGAGGGATTAAAATCCCCCAAAATAATAACACCTGTATCTTTAAGAAAAGAATGCCCCCTGAGCTCTCAGTGGCCATTTTGGAAGATGCTAGGCAATCATAACAATATTGCTGAGTCTCCCAAGTGTTGAGTTTCTGAAATAGCCCTAGAATAGGTCCTGTCATCCTTCCGTTTCATGTCCCCTGACGAAGAAGGATTTGCTCTGCACAGGCCTGGTAGCAACCAACAGACACTCATTACCTACACAAATTGGCCTTGCCTGGCAATGGCAGTGGCTGGCCACACACCTGGCCTCAGCCACACTACTGAACCCAGCCTGGTCTGTTGGCAGCATTAAGCACTATACACCTGGGCCCAGCCTGGCCTGGCAGTGGGCATCATGCAACTAGGCCTGGCCTAGCCTTGGCTGCCCTAGAC